TACGGGGCCTTATATGGGCAACTGTTTGCCTCACGCCGACTTTTTTGATATTATGGGGTGGGTTTTGGGAGGGGGGGGTCCATATATATATATATATATATATATATATATAATATCATATCAATATGATGCAGGGCTGCCACACACCCCCTCCTCCCACATCCCATGGTATCCCCCCCTCTCCGTCCACCCCCCACCTCTCCGTGGGGTGGGGCCTGTGGTCGCATCCCCGCCCCGCCCTTTGTTCGCAGTTGTGCCTGCTGCCGGTGATACTGCTCCTGATGTTGTGCTGCTCTAGACGGCGATGCGAGTCGACAATCGGATCATCTTTGACATCAGGCTCAACATCATCATTGTCGTCGTCATCTTCCTCATCAGTACCGTCAAAAGAACAGTTGTCACCATCACCATCGAGATACAACCTTCAAGTCAGGCATTGTAATTCATGTCTGATGCGGGAAAACTACTGCGCAGATTGCCGCTTTCTGCACGGAGCAGGGGTTGGGTACCATAGGGGATCTTTTTTTTTGGACAGGAAACTCAGCAAAGCCGAATACACCGAAGCCCTAGTTCCTACGGGAGTGGGCCCTACGACAGCCCCGTGACAACCGAAACCAGGCAGCATCCCGACTATGCGGCTTTAAAGTCAGCCGGCAAAACCGACACCGCCAGCCACGCCGCTGGTCTATAAAATCCAACTCATGGCTAGGGTGGACTCCACGACCAACCCAGTCAAGAGTGGTTCGGTAGCATGGGCCTGTGGCCAGTTCTTTACCCAGTAGCTGGTTGCTAACACGAAGACCACAAGTTTGACAGATAGCGAAAGATGAGGCAACCCCTAACTTCCAAGAATGATGCGGGTAAAGGATTGGCAAGCTAACAAGAAACTCCCTACGAGTGGCAGGCCTGGGGCCCTGCTTGCGGGCCTCCCGCGGGGCTCGAAGGATGCGCACGGCCCTAGACGTCAAGTACTCAAGGATTTTCCAGCTTCCGGCGTCAGACCACCTGCGGATATCGACCCACGTGGACAACACAGGCTGCCGATCCAACCAACGACTAAAGACCAATGCAGCTTCATCAGCGTAGGCATTGCTGAAATAGGCCCAGCCAAGATCTGGGCCAAATTCAGGCTCGAACATAGGCAAGGAGAGGTGAGCCCTTACCCAGGTGCCTCGCAACCACCGCTGTAACAAAGCCTCGCGCACTTCATGCCACAAGTCCAAATTCGACCAAGAGGATCGCAAACGACGAGTGGACACCAAACGCTGAAACAATTTCATATTCAACTGGGAATCGCTAGAGAAAGAGATGGGGCCCCACGTGTGCCTTAACAGCTGCACGAGTGCATACAGCTCGGCTCTAGCATAGGGGATCCGCACGACACCCCCAATCCGCACAGCTGCAGACCACACCCCACCGGTGGGGTACCATAGAGGGGGTGGGGGGGGATACCATGGGGGGGGAGGTGGCCCGGGACCCGCGAGCATCTATCTATATATATATATATATATATAAACACACACACACACATACTATGCAACCTGAGGCGGCTCCCTTTGCAGACTACGGTGCTTCTAAAAGGGATCTGCTCAGGATTCCGTGTGATCAATTTGTGGGGGGTGTGGTGAGATCGGGTTGTGTATACGTGTAAAGATGCCCCAGCCCACCTCGGTACTCATTCCAAGGGCTCACTTCGCAAGAAAGATGGGCGCCGAAAGTGATAAAGGTTCGAGTCTCACAACTACAGGGTTTACAACCTAAGGTTGTGCGGGTGTCCCGAGTCGTTCGGTTTCGGTGATCATATCTGAAACCTTTTGCCTGCAGGTTCAGGGCAGTCTGTTTAAGAAAGAAGTGCCACGTCGCCCAGTAGGCTGGCGACTTGCTGCCGTCACTATCACGATCAGCACAACTATCATGAACAGAGTCAATACCTCAACAGGCATCCGGAATACTGTTCATGCGGTTCAGTTTCTATTTCGCGACGTTCTGCTGTTCTCATGACACTCATCCTCGCCATGCTCAGGGACCCCCTGGTTATCATCAGCATCCTTGTCGTCGGAAGTCGTCACACGAATGTCTCCTGAGTTGGCTCGTCTCACTACTGCGTTAGCAGTGCCCCGTTGACGCTGGCCGTTGCTATTCGTGACCATGGCATGTGGGGCGGTTCCTACGGTCCCTGGTGCCTCCTTGGCCGCTTTCGCGGTGCGCAGGGACTCCCGGCGCTTGCCCAGCTGCAGCCTCAAGGGCAGGGCGAATATGAAGACGTTGGCAGTGGTCCGTGGTGGTGGGCATCGCTCCAAGCCACAAACAGTACGTATGAGGTTGCCACTACACTGGTTGCATTGCTGCGAGCTCCTCTTCAGTGTTCGGCTAAGTTGTTACAAGTAGTGCCCGGCATCCAAAGCAGTGGCCTGCCCGAACCCAGAGCCAACCTGCACCCTGAAGCGGTCCACGTGAGACCCTGCCCATTTCAACTGACCCTCCCTGCCCGGATTCAACTTTTTACACCAAGTCAAGAAACGCCTCCTTGTCGGAAGGATCTTGAGGCCTCCGCCCGAAACTTCGCACACCAATATGCTTACTGCTTACTCCGACGCCCAATGACTTTCAGGAATCTTCTGTTGATTCATCTGAGGTCCACGACTGCGCCGCTGCAACAATCTGGCGGAGGTGCAGGGCAACGGGATTCGGGTGCAGGGCAGGAATTTCTCGGCCTTTCTCCGGGAGTTACGATCGTTCTCTCCGTCGGATCTCAGATCTCAGCCGCAGTAAGGCCTCAACAACCAAACCTTAGCCCTGGAGCCAAGGCAAGTTCAGGTGGCCCTTTTTCAGGATGTTATGGCACACGGCAAAGGATATGATCACTGCTGCTGCGGTCTTGTGACTGCTTGTCGACTACAAGACTGGCTCTCAAAGGCACCGCCAACTTGCATCTTGTTATCTTGTTCATACCGGTGATCTTGACACGTTACAACCCAAATCTTGAGTAGTACAGAAATCAATCTTTGAAGCCCGAAACCCCAACAGGCCCTGGACCGCAGAACAACTCTGCGCCCCTCTGAAGCAGATATTCATTGCACCGGAATCTCCAGCTCCGGTTCAGGGCTCAACTCTTGAAGGCTCAGGGAGGAGGGAATCCGGTCTAGAAGACTATCCGACTGCAAAAGCCTACAATGTCTCGTTTTCCCAATCTCTGTTGGAACTGTGAGATAGCATAGAGGATCATTAAATCGAAAGAGTCCCTGCCCCAGTGGAAAGCCCCATCGCAGCAAGCAGTGAAAGGCAGTCCTAGAACATAGATATACTTGTGACGATAGTGAGCAGCCGAGCGCTGAGAGTCGTGCTGGCACAGCGATAATGATTCCCCACTCCTTGTTTTGCTACAGTGTTATGCTGGCTCAGGTTTCTCGCAATGACGGCAGTCTTGAGCGCCTTTTTCACGAAGCTGCTTCGGTGCTAGTAACTGGTAACAACATACAATTTTGTCCGCCGTCCTTGGCAGACGCTAGCGTCAAAGAATGCCCTCTTGCAACGTCCAAGTCTAAGAGTTTGCGGCTCCCTTATGGTGTTCGGAAGAGCAGGCCACAATGGCAAAAACACGGTAGCTTGAAGCATACGCTTTGGCAGATTCTGCGGGTCAGCAACTACACCGAATCCTACATCTGCTCATACGGCTATTCCAAGATGCCAAGATGAGTCTCAAACGAAGCAAGAAATGCCGGAAATCGGAAATTCCTCCAACTCAGCTTTGATCTCCTCGCGATTACGTTGGAAGAAGTTCGCTCGACCTGCCTGTTGCAGACGTCGGTGAAACATGCTGGCAATCCTGGATTCAAACCATCCTCAGCCTCTAAACCCCGAATCGTACTTGTGACTGCGCAGCATGTCTATTGCTCGTTAACACCTGGATCTATGTCCGTTGCTTTAGAGCCCACACACCCGACACCTGGCTGTTCGCCGGCCTTAATATTCCGGTCTAGATGTGGTGGTCGTCGCTTGGAAAGAGCCAGGACCCGAAAGTAACCTTCAAGTACCCTTCTAGAAACCCCATATGGCAACCGCATTGTAATAGCTTCTTTTGGGCCCCACAGGATGAATTGGGGGCCCCGTGGTTAAGTTTTAGGCCAAGGAGTCAGCTTTCATTACCAGAGCTCCAGAACAAGCCTTAGAGTACCGGCAGCACCGAAACTGTCCAGGCTCCAGACTCGAATCTCTAATCATCACAGAGCTCCCTGGTTTCACGGGAGGATACCCGGAAACCTGGGCATCCTGGTATATACCAACGGATCTCAAGGATCTCGGCCTGACTCTCGAAAGAAACCGTCATGAAAGGCTGCTCCGTCTTCCCTGCTTTCGTCAGACACAAAAGCCGAGATCCGAACCCCCAATCCCCGAAGCCCTGCAGACTGAACGGGTCCCAAAGGCCCCTCATAAGATCCACTTTCTTTCTGCAACACTGTCTGCTTTTGCGGCAACCGTGACTGCACCTCGTTCTGCAGTACAAAACTGAACCCCCTCAGTTGAGGCCCATGTTGATCGGGACTCACAAGGACGGAAGGACGTATGCGCACACACACACACACACACACTCTCTCTCTCTCTCTCTCTCGCTCGCTCGCTCTCGCACATTGCAACACGACCCTTCTTTCAATGATGTGGGCCCGAGGCCTAACGCTCTGAATCTAAGTCAGCCCGAGACCCCGGAAAATACAGAGAATCGAGATTTTGACGACTCAGCCGACATCACTGGCAGTTCGCCTGTAGCGGATGACTATTTGTTTGGGGCTTCAGGGTTGTAATGTGGGGTCCGTTTCGCGAGCCTTGAATCCTGAACCTAAGTCTTTTCAGATTCTGCTTTCTGCTTGCCCGATTTTCGGATGTCTTGTCGGAATCGCTGTGTTGAGTCAGACATCAGGGGTAGGCGCATAAACTCAGCCCCAAAATGCCACCCCATCACCATCCCCCCCTCCCGCCAACTCGTAATGCCGTAAACTCCTAAACCCTAAACCTCCCAAGATCACCAACAGTTTTGGAATGAAGCGGCCACAGCCAATTCGGTTCGGACCGACTGCGCTGATTGAAATTCCAAGATCTCGATGATTGGAATAGGGATTTGGGATAGATTATACAATATTGAGTTTTCAACAGCACAAGCCAGGAATAGTAGTTGTACATACTGAGGCTCCTATATTAACTGGTTTGACTCCTTCAGTTTGGTGTCTAGGATATTTCGGGTTGTGGGTCATCTGCATATTGAAGGTTGGGGCTTCGGGATATGGCCTTTCACCTTCACTCACGCGCATTCCTGATAATTTTTATATCTCTCTGCCTATACGCACCTACCTACATGTTTCTGTCTCTGTCGCTCCCTCTCGTTCCCCACAGCGTGTGCGTGTGTGTGTATATATTTACATATACATCTATCTATGTGTATATGAGTATATGTATGTATGTATGTATATATATATATATATGTATATATTATATATATATATATATATAGAACTACCTGCAGGTACTATGCGGTAGAATACAATTCGGCATGGGCTTCAGAACCCCTTTGAACGCCTTAGTGTCTTAGTGTATACCTTTCTTGGGGATAAGGAGGGACTGGCAGCAACATCTGAAGGTGCACTCCGCTGAAACGAGACATGCTTTCGGGTCGCGGGGCACCAAGCTTAAGCAAAGCGGCGACTGTCTTCTTTCAGCAACTGAGTGAGACAAATATCCACATAGCCTTGGCTTTGGCAGAGATGCTTCCTCGCGACCACATCCCTGTTGAGATATCAGGCCGTTTGCCTCAATCTGATAATGCCGACACCCAAGATGTTGGCCTTTCCGAACTTCTGTTGTTCTAATCCTCGACCCTTGGTGGTGTCTAGAGTGAAAGCTCAGTCAGGTGTCGGGTCGGACAGGACACGGATGAAAGGACGACGCTTCGCTTTACTTCACCATCTAGACAGTAAGCTTGGTAGATTGCAATATGCACGTATGTGCACAAACGCACACGCACACTCATGCATGCACACAGACAGACAGAAAGGCAGAAAAGTTAGCCAGCTAGCCAGCCAGCCAGGCAGGACAGGCAGACAGACAGACGGACAAACGGACAGACAGGCACACACACACACACACACGCGCTCTCGCAAACGCAACCGCACACATACATAATGTACGTGCATAATTAACAAACCTGTACATTTACATGCACATACACAGATACATCTACCTCGAGAACCAAAGTTTCGAGAAATAACTAGCAACTGCAAAAAAACCTACGCCTTTAGTGAAGTTGCAAGTTTATTCTGCAACTGACAAAAAAACCTGCAACTTGAGTAGGAACCTGCAACTTTCCCATTCCAACAAAGCCCTGATAGACTTAAGTTAGGTTCCAAGCCCCTTGGACAGCGAATGCTTGCAGGCATGTCAGGTGCTGCTTGCAGTGGCACGATTGTGCAAGCCGTTCCGCAGTGTGCAGCAAGCGAGTTCGAGGTTCCGGATCATGATGACATGCTAGGTCAAAGCAGAATGCCTGCTTGGTATCGGTAGGCTTGTCGGCTAGCACCGAAGCATGAAGCAGTTCAATCGAAAACACAGTGTAGCATAGCTGCGAATAATTAGTAATTCGTGCCTTTGGCATGGCGAGACTGGCTTTCCTTTGGGTGCTTCTGTTGGTTACGATGAGGTGCCTCGCCTGAATATCGGTCCTTTGAAATCGAGGGAGTGGGTGTCCTGCTGTTGTTGTTGGTCGTTCCGAGGCATGTGCCGCTTTTAGAAAACAACTTCCTCCGGCTGGGGCTGGATGCTCAGACAAAGTGGGCTTCAAGCTCCCATTTGTGATGCGAAAAGTGTGCTGCATGCAGACCTCCATGTGCTCGCACATATAGGGTTTTGGCTCCGACCGGCATTTTGCTGCAGGAGCTACTAGCTAGGCTGTTTCAGTGATGGCGAAAAGCCAGCTTGCAAAGAAGTGGGAGAGTGTGGCTCGTGTTAGGAACCGCTTTCGGAATGGCCAAGACTGGCTGAAGCTGAAGACCGGGGGAGATGGTGCAACCAGGGTGGCAGCATGTGCGACCTCGTTTCGGCAGAATGCCGAAATTGTGAGCTGCTTGCTGCAGACATCCGGGCTTGAGAAGCTGCCCCTGCCAGCCTTGACGGCACAGGTAGGGCAAATCCATGCATGCTTTCATTGCTCGATGGGGCCCATAAACTATAGATTGCAATCCACCCTGCCGCAGGTGGCTGCACTCTTCAAGAAGATGGGCTTCATCCCTGAGAGCCCCAAGCAGGCCAAGGACGATGCCAAGCTTCTAAAGAGTCTTTTCAGTTATGCTCTTCGCCGAACGGCGGATGCTGAGAGAAGGGGGCAAGTTGCTCGAGCAGCCAGGCTGCTGAAGCATAGCAGTTGAATTTAGGTTTCTTAAGAACTTAGGGGCTCGGTAAATACCATATATATCTTTATATTTTTAGATCTCCCTCAGTTTGTCGATCCTTTTTCATGTAGTCCATTGCTTAGGACTTCAATGTGAGAACAGTGATGCAGATGATCGGGAAGCTGCAAGCTGGTGAAGCTGTGGCAGAGTCAGCCTTTGCATCTTTGCAGTCGGGGCTGTCCGAAGATGAAGTTTCCGAGGGTGATGATAATGATGAAGGAGAAGGGGAAGAAGAGCAGGAAGATGATGAAGAGGATGTTAAGCCAGATGAAGGAGATGATGAGGGTGTAGGGAAAGGAGAGCCGGAGCCGGAGAAGAAAAAGGTTGCCTCGGCACCCAAGGTCAAGAAGGTGTTGCCTTTGCCTGCCAGCAAAGATACACGTGTGAAAATCAGGCCTGACTACACTCCTGATCCTGCTTTGTTTCCCGAGATTCGCCCGAGCCCAACTTCAGCTGGGTCTGGACGATCTCCGGATGAGATTGAGCTGGCCCAATGCTTGCACCGCATCAAGAGTCTGGAGAAAGAGCTGGAGACTGTGTAGCTTGCCTTGATCTGAAAGTCCCATTGTGTGATATTAAGTAATAGAGGCATTGGGTTTGTGCATGTTGCAATGAAGGTCCCCAGGGAGTAACAAGATGAAGTCCAAGAACACGTCCGGTTTTTTGGCCGCAATATTTGTGAATCATGGAGATTTTGTGCAGGGTTCTTTCATCCGACCTGCAGGTTCGGCTCTTGTGATTGATTTGGAGAGCCCACCCCGGGCCCCGAGCTCGGCCCCAGCAGCCAATCCTGATGCACCTCGGCCCAACTGAGTTTTTGAGAGTGCTTCCATAGCCTCTTGGACCTGTTGTTGACATGAGGATATCGAGACACAGCTTGTGTATGATGTTGACTTGGCTGTGGAGAAAGCTTCCAAGTCCCCGCCCACTGCATCGACGACGCCAGGGACGACCCCCCCGACAATCCGACACCGCACAAAGGCTCCTTCGAGCTCACCCACCCCACCGTCTGTTCCGACCCTGAAAAAGCGGAAAGTCTCTTGGCTGTAGCTTTGAGTCGAGTTGTGAGTGCAGTGTAGAAGCCACAGTGTGCACCTCTGTTTTCCGATGATGAGGCTATGGAGCCCTTGACTTTGTCTGCTGAAGAGCAGCAGGCTTTGAGGGCCAGCATGAAAAAATCGAAGAAGAAGAAGAATGCCTCCCCGAAGGGTTCCGAGGCTGATGAGACGAGTACGCCGAAGCCCAAGGCTAAAGCAAAGGCTAAAGCAAAGGCCAAAGCTAGGGTGCTGAGGAGGCCCTCGGCAAGACTTGTTCCCGCCGATGACGGGGGCGATGCCCCTCCGGCTCCCGCTAATCGGGAGCCTCTTGTGGAAACCCCGCCTCCGGGCGGCTTGGGTTGCTCTCGTTGCCGATTTGGCAAGACAGGGTGTAGCCAGTGCAAGAATCCCGAGTACAGGCCCCGGGGTCCCCGAAGGCGAGATCCCACGAACTAGCTTGCTTCTTTAGGCATTGTGCTGTGTTCAAATGCAGAGGTAAAGTCTTTAGGCTATCCGATGCTTCAAGCAGCAGGCCGCCCATGGTTTAGATTTCGCCGAAATTCACGTGCCGTGGTCAGTGCCATGGTCCAGTGGATCTAGTTTTCATCATGCAGAGCCAGAGTTTACACAGTCACGACTTTCTGTGAGATGCTGTGCGAGGGGTGCACAAACAGTCGTTGGAGTCGGCGAATGCACAACTACTATTCGAACGATAAGGCTACATACAGAAAACTGTTGTGCTGAGGTCTATGTGCTGCACATCACGAACACGCCGAACGGTGCGAAAGAGTACGAAGCAGGACGGTGCGACCACCGACTCTGTTGTGCCCGGTGTCTTTCAGATGTGTGCGATTGTTTGGAGTGAATCGTGCAGCTTTGTGGCTGTAGTGCAATAGTGTTCCCGGCCATGGTTTTGTTCCGGCGATCGACAGCTCACTCCTAAAAATGATAGATCTGCCGAGCCCCTCAGCTCAACAATGCAGCGAGTCATCTTTTCCAGATCCCAACACTTATCCTACAGACCCCACTTGCTCGCCCAGGTCGTGATTTCGCATATGGATCCTGCTGGCTCACATCATGTATGCTCCGAGCTTCGACAAGGTTCGATGATTTCCAGAATTGGGGGTTGGTGCTATCTATGACACATATGATAATCCTTTCATTCGGCCCTAGACTTTATTTAGCCCATCAATGCAAACTAGGCCCGCCCCAACAAACCTTCAACACCAAAGCATTTGGCTGTGATGGTATGATTCGACTTTGTGGTTTGGGCTCGCACGGGCTCGTGATTTCGCATTTCGCATTCCAGCTACACTTGGTGTGATAAGTATGCACATAGTTTTCGAGGTTTGGAGTTTAGGATTTCACGGGCAATATTACTAATGGAGTTGAGTGAACTTGGAATATCGGGTCTATAGAGCAGGGCTTTCGGCTTACTATTTCTGGGGTTGCTAGGCACAAGTTTCCGGAAGGGTGCACAGAACTATATGTTAAAAAATGGACTCTTCTAAAGCCAGTGACAAGACTAGGCCCGAGGTTACTTTAATCGTAGGGTAGCATGAGTAGCTAGCAGACTGGCACAACCGGTGTGTGCCATATGTGTACTGAGCAGGGCTTTGTTATAGGTACACAAGCACATTTTCTCACGCAATCAGTTGCTGTATGTACTGTATAGTGTGTGCATAGTTTGTAGCCATGCATAGATCAGCAGTCACACAGACATGGACCCATGTGCACGTTTCTATACATGCATGTGAGTCTGTCTGTATGTGGGTATTATGGGAAGAGGCTAGGATTTGTGGCCCCGGTGCATCTAAGCATGAAAACATACATACACGGGTACATGCATGTCTCTCTGTATGCATGTGTGCACATCTATGTGTATGTCTGTCTGTATGTATGTATGTATGTATGTATGTATGCATGCATGTATGTATGTGTGTATGTATGTATGTGTATGTGCTATAGTACATGTGTGTGCAGATCTGCACGCATGCACCTATGTATTAAACTCCAGAATTCAGAGATACTGATGAGCCACAAAGCCATGTTGTATTGCAGTATGATTAGTCCGACAAGCTTCAGGCTGTGGCCTTTGTAATGGTGTATGGTAATTATTGTCAGCTGTCTTGGCCAACAACTTACATATCAACAATGGTGCAATGTCGTGGAGTCCACTGTGTAGTCCTAGGAGAACTGGTGCAAAGCGCCGTCGAGTGTTACAGGATGTTTATGTTTTTTAATCTAATGATCTAGCTTCAGAATGCACAGTGCATCAATTGAAACCCCATAGATAGGAACTGCAAAATATAACCGGCAAGGTTGAAGACCCTCCAGCCTAAGCCCTGTATCCCCTGAGTAGTGCCCGCCTTATCATTAAGAAGCCTTCTGGAATGGCCCCAGGGCCCAATTCCTACGTGCTGCCGAAGCCAACCTCTAGCCCGTGCCTTGATTGCATTGTGGCTATCTAAGTTTCATAAGTATGCATGCATGTATATATAGGTATGTATACAGATATATGAAGTGTTGTGTATACACCGATGCACATCAATGAAGGGGAGAGATATGTCTACATGTCTAGACATGTTTATATACTGATATTAAACACCCACACACACATATATATATATATATACATATAGATATATGCATACTATGTCTATATACATGCATATGTGTGTGTGCATATTCGTGCAGACGATATTATATGTTTATATATACATATGTTAGGCATGTGTATGTGTAACCATGTATATACATATATATATATATATATCATCTGAATTTACTTATATATATATATACATATACATTTAGAAAAACATGTACATGTGCCTCTGTGGGAAAGGAACAAAAACGGAGACGGCGAAACCAATAGACCTACTCCTCAGGTGGTACAGGACCCTTAGTCCCTTGACCAAAAGACCCCGACACCCTACAGTTGCAGATTTCTCCTACAAAGATTATTCTCCGTCCCATGAAACCCGAGCCCTAAAACCTTACAGCCCGAGACCCCACTATTAAATTATAACCCTAGCTCCTGCCACCCAGAGGCTCTGTCCATTTGCGACAACTCTACTGATCTACCTTCTGGAGGCCTGCTGCCAGTTCTTCAAGTATCAACAATTCAGACCCAGGCTGCTTAAGTGAATTTTACGGGTTTTGTCCGGTCTGCTAGGGGCCAAAGCCAGGTTCTAGTTAAATTTATGGGTACATCCTTTCGATAGGACTCAATAGAGATATTTACTTAATCTTTCGGCTCTAAACCTGAACGGGATTTGAGTCTCTGCTGTTCTCTGTAGCCCCTAAACTGTGGCACCATTATAATCCCCTAAAACCTATCGGAGAACAAGTTTAGCAATCCCTCTGTTGAGGAGTTTAAGCTTCCAAGCTAGGAACCTCGGGTCTATTGCAGTATGGGCTTCAGAGTCGAGAGAGGGTTCAAGGATTATAAGGGTTTTGTTAGTTTACTCCGAATTGTTGGTTGCCCCTTCTCCCTCTCCCTCTCTCTCTCTCTCTCTCTCTCTCTCTCTCTCTCTCTCCCTCTCTCTTCTCGTTCTGAAACATTTATGCCCTACGGCTACATACCTCTCTCTCGTTCTCTCTGTCTGTAGCTTTACTTAACTATATGTATCTATCTATAGCGATCTATCTATCTACATCTGTTCCTATCGATCTATCCATCTATCTATCATAATCCATCCAACTAGCTATCTAATATCTACAATATTATACATAATAATATGTTTGTATATATATATATAT